TAAATAAGCATATTTGAAGTATTTGGGACAAAAATAATGTTAAAAAGTTTAATAAATAATTTTGAGTAAGAAAATAGCAAGCTACTCGGAAACGTATTCAAAATATCACAAAATATAAGTCGACGTGAAAACATAGTAACAATCAAATAATTATGCTAGGAATGATCAAAAAAATCACAAATGAATAAAATCAAAGCAAGAAAACGATGATGTAAAAGGAAAGCGCTTAATCCATTTGGATCTCCGACATAAAACCTCAGGAGGTGATAAACTCACCTGCCTTAGAACTTATGTTAAATCATAAATAAATGTTACGAGTGCTAGCTGATCTTAGTAAGAATGTGTTTGTGCTCAAGTGTCAAAAGAATCAGAGAAGAAGAAGTGAATGTGTATGTGTGCATCGATCAACTAGTCTTTTATACATAATAAGAATAACTACAACTCCGAGATTCTTGGGATTTCCCTTGATCTTTGATTGACCTGGATTTTTTAAAGGTCTTCAACGTTCATGAGACATTGACCATGTGAAGTTGACTTGGTCTATTTCTTTTTGCCAAGCTTCAAGTCCTTGGAGAAGATTTTACAAGAAAAACGATGGCAATCCAAGATACTGAATAAATCCAAGATCTTGGGATTGCCCATGATGTTATTTCAAGTTCAAGATATAAATGGTAAGTCAAAATTTCTACCCACACCAATTTCCCCGACAAATCTCCAATCCATGATCATAAGTGATTAGATATTTCTAGCATTTAAAAAATGGATTATGTTGATGTGACGTAGTCTAAATTTCCAGGTTCAATCGTATCCATCGATTATCTTGGGAAGTTTGAATTTTGAATGGCAGCGAAATCTGCTCGAAAACCCTCTCATAAGCCCATTTCATTCCTTTGTTCTTTCGGTCATTCTTCATTCATGAGGGTTTTCTTCTTAGGTAACAGTTCTTTTCTCCCTTCTTTCATTACTCTTGTTTCTTTGATCATGGGAAAAAGACTCGTTCGAGCTAGTGCTAGATCTGAGAAATCTATTGTTGAGGATTTTGGAGATTTAGGTTTGTTGCCTATCAATGAAGGAGAAATTATAAATTTCTCGAATGTTGTTATTAATTTGCTTTGTTCATTGGGTAAGTTCCCTTTATACACTATCCTTAGGGTTTTCGATCCATTTTTCAAATCATATTATCTTTCCCCTATGTGATGTTGTTTTTATGAGTTTTTGTCTTTCCCTTTTACTCCATCAATTTATGAGTTTTTCGGTATTATTGATCTTTCTCATGCTCGATCAACTTTGATGATTTTTTATCTTCAACATTTGTAAAAACTAATAAGACTTCTACTTCAAGTATGAAGAAGTTAGAGTTTAAATCTAATAGTCCTGATCCCTAGAAGAGAAAGCTTATGCTGGAAATAAGTCATGAACTTTATGAAGGACTAAATCCTTGTGAATTTGAGAAAAAAGTGATATAACTAAATCAGTACGTAAGTCTTATTCTGTATATTTTCTTTTTAAATGTTTGTATTTGATCTATTATTTTGGTTATAGGTTACAAGTTCCATATTTTCGGGTGCGGAGGGATAAAACTGGGAAATTGAGATTGTGAAGAAGCCAGCTGATCACGATTTAAAGAAAAGGGATAGAGAATTTACAATAATGGTGAAAGAATTGATGGTCAAGAATATCTAGTTAAATGATGGGAATAAAGAATTAGAAAGGGTAAGTGAGAAACGGGATATGCCGAAAAAGCAACTAGCTGATGTAAAGAAGAAAACACGAAGGTTTGTCGGTATTTCTGTATTGGAAGATAGGTTAAAGACGATTGATGATATTCAAGAAAGCAATATGGGTTCTTGGGATAAGGAAAAGTAGGAGCAAGCTCTAAAGAGACTAAAAGGAAGAGAAGAAATGAATGATGAAGAGGTTGACGATGCCTTGAAGTATGTCGTTGTAGAAGAGGTCGGTGACGATGACGATTTTAAAAGATCTTTAGGAGAAGAATGAATTGGTTTGTCAGGGTATTTTGTGAACAACTATCTTTGTTTATGTTTAAGGACGTTAAGTAGTATTTTAAGTTACGTCCTATATGGAGATATGGTGCTTTTTCTTTTGAATGTTTATGGATGGTTTGAGATAACCGTTACTTTCATAGCAAAATATTTTAAAGAAATATTTTCAGAAGTAAGGGTGAGCTTATAATAGACTCAAGAAAGCAACGACTCTAAAGATATTTTGAAATTAATTTTTTAAGAAGTATCTCTTAGGAGTAAATCAAAAGAATGAAGATTTAAATGAGTAATATGCTTAAAATAATTTCTTGGTAAAAACAAAAGTAAAACAGTAGAATCAAAAAAATTGAATTTTTGGACTCCATCATTGCAAAATAAGTGAAAATGTTTCTAGGAATGAAATACTTATCTTTTGAATGGAAAATAAGTAATCAATATAGGCTTGTTAAACGAAAGATCTTAAGTTAAAAATATGAGGTAAAAGGATTTGCGTTCGGATACTTAGAATCGATTTTTAAATTCATGCATTATTCTTAAAAACATATTTAAGAAAAGATGTTTTGATAAAAACACGTTCATCAATGAAAATAAATTTGATGAAAAAATTCAAATGTAAGATAAAAAATGTGACACATTGTAAAAAGGAAGGTTTAGGATTATAAGTAGGAAATAATCTTAAAGCGTTATGATGATTGTGTACCTTACACCTGATATCTTGGAATGAAATCTTAGGATGATATCTTAGGATGATAACTTAAGCCAAATTGATTTCATTTGTTATCTTGAGATTACGTCTTGGGACAATAATTTGGATACTTTGTTTAATATCTTAGGATGCCCCCGTTGTTTTAAATCATTGGTTTTGATCTTAGATCCGGATGTCTCTGTCTTAGCGAACATGACCATGTGCTCATTAATTGAGAACATATAAATGTTGCAAATATTGGGATAACCTCGTCTGAGGGTTGTTCCCTTGGGATTTTCCACATCCTTGAGATATTTCCTTGGCTTAAGTTTAACATGTTAATGTTAAACGTGTGGGTATAAGTTCCTGGCTGTATGACACGCCCGTGTCATTCCATTGAATTTTGTTTAAGTTCTAGCAAATAGTTAGTAATATGGAGGTTTCTGATTACTAAAGTGTGAGTCGATCCCCATATTCTTTGACTATTGTTAGAAATCATGCGTCCAGGCAAGGTGTTTAAACCTAATCTCGTAGAAAGACGTCGGTCTTTAAACCTTGGAAGGTATCTTGGATACCTTGGATCTTAGGAGGGGTGATCAGCCACTAAATGCTTGGTCAAGTTTTTTGGAGTCTGCAAAACAAAGATCTTGGGTAAAAGGTGGGTGTTAGCTTGGCTAACACCCCTCCGATGCTTAAGTCAGTATCATGAATAAGAATGTATAATTGATAATGTAAATAGGGAAGGAAAACGTACTTGAGTATCTTAGACCAAGATCTTGGACATAAAAAAAATAGGTCTTAAGATGTGTAGTGTTCCAAGATCCCCTATAAGGTAAGGACCTTCCCAATTTAGAGCAAGTTTCCATGTACTATATTCAGCTGTATTTTGGAATACTTTCCTAAGGAAAAGATCCCCTACCTAGAATCTTCTGATTCTGATATTCTTGTTGTAAGATTTGGCCATTCTTTGCTGATACACTGCTATGCAAATCTTGGCAAGATTCCTAAGTTTGTTTACTGTGTCAAGATCTTCAGCTAGGATCTTTTCATTATCCTCTTGGTTGTGGAATCTTTTTCCAGCCGTGAGGATCATAATTCTAGGGGAATTACAACCTCAGTTCCAAATACCAAAGAATATGGTGTTTGTCATGTGGAATTGTTAGTTGTGGTCCTATCTACACAAAGAATCAAGGGTAATTCTTCACCTGATCTTCCTTTTCTTTCTGTAAGTCTTTTCTTTATGTTATTGATTATGATCTTGTTGATTGACTTAACTTGACTATTTGCTTGAGGATGAACAGGTGTAGAAGTGATCGTCCTGATTCCCTAACTCGTACATAAGTTTAGTGTTCTCTTACCTATAAATTGAGATTCGTTATCACATATAATTTCATATAGAATGCCAAAATTGGTCTTGTACTTGATGAAGGATATCACTTCCTTTTTTCTAACTTAGCCAAAGGCTTCAACTTCTATTAAAACCATCTAAATTTCCCTTCGTTCATGGCGTTAACTTCAGTTAATCTCATAAGTGTTTCTGCAAATAATTTCGTTTTTGTGATATTAAATGGAATAAGTTAATTAAAAACAGTGTAATTTAATATCTAAACGAATTAATTATTATTTAAAGGGTATATAATCTAATAAATTGGTTTTGTGGGAAAATAAAGTAAATATTATCCATTAAAGATTTAAATGGAATTTAAGGGGGTTGAAGTGGTATTAAGAGAAACTTGAAATGTTAAATGAATTAGGGTTAGGGTTGAAAGGGTTCAAGCTATGAATACGAGAGACTAAGTTGTAAAAATCAGCTCATAACTCCCCAAGGAAAAGCGATCGACGGGTTTGAGCCAAATCGTTCATTTCTTTTTTTCTTTGGCCTATAACGTGTGCACTAAATCACATCCAATTCATTAATGTACTGCCAAAGGAGCAATGATAGAAGAAAAAGGAATAAGGTGGACGAGAAAGGCAGGGAGTACTCGAGGAGTATTCAGATTGGATAAATTATATGAAATTAATTTTAGGAAAATTATATATATATATATATATATATATATATATATATATATATATATAGGTTCAAATGTTTCTAGCAACTATTGTGTGCATGTATACACCAATGAGTTTATTAAAAACTATAACAAACTAGATAAATATCAATAAGAATTACAGATTTTTTTTTCTAAAAAAAAAAGTCGAAATTTCCAAGTTTTTCCAATTTTTTCTGATTTTTACCGATTCCGAATTTTTCAGATTTTGACCAACTCCTAGTTTTATGGCCGATTCCTAATTAGACGCATCGGCCCCAACCCGATTCCAATTAATCGGCCGCCTAGGCCGAGTTTTGCAACACTTGCTTACATAATGTTCCCCACCTCAAGCAAAGACCAGAAGAATAACAAAACATTTTCGGTTGGGAGATGGAATCTTTGTGGCTGGGTTTTTTTTAAAGAAAGAAAATGGATACATATGGTTACAGACAGTGATAATGAAACAGAAATTCTTATTTAGGATGCATATAACATAAGCTACAACTAGTTAGTTAGTAACTAGTATCAGGCTCTCCGGGACATTGCTTACTCCAATTAGCTGTGCCAGGTTTGCGCTCCCCTCGCTTTCTTTTGTTTTTTGGAATCTGAAAACCGGTGCCCAAAGATGTTATCATACTTGATTGCTCTTCACCAGTGCCAATGCCTGGATGCGTGCTTTCTTCTTCTTCTTCTTCATCTTCTTCATCTTCTTCTTCTTCTTCATCTTCTACATCTTCTCCTTCTCCTTCTTCTTCTTCTTCTTCACTTTTCTCTCCTTGCTTTACTACTACAACTAGTTGGCAATTTCTCAAGTTGTGCTTTTCTGCTTCATCTCCTTGGTTACTATGTACCACCATGTTGTCCACAATCTGCACATTTAACATTATCTATTCAACATATCTTACAATATACCTCGATCCATTAACTGGAATTCCAAACTCCATCAGAAAGAGCTTTTGGTTCACAAATTCTGTCGCCATTCTGGGACTTGCTTGGTTGCCAAGGCTATGACTATTTTGACAGAAAAAAAATAATAATAATAAAATAAAATAAGGTTATTGAAGCAACCCCACGGCCACCACCTTAGTTGTTGGCATAAGAGTCTAGGAGCCCAATCCTTTGCATTTGCCATGTAACCTAGATTTCTTCCTAACTACCCTCATTTTCAATTCTGTGAACATATGGCCATTAATTTTGTTTTTTTTTTGTAAACATATGACCATTAAACCTAATGGTCATATGTGTACAAAAAAAACATAAGTGACTAAATGTGTACAAAAAAAAAACAAAAGTGACTGATATGTACACATAATAAAGTTTATTATCCTTATAACACATTAACCCATAGAATAAATAGTAACAACTTTTTGCATCAACCCAAAGCTTTTTAAAATGATTCAAATAAAGGCTAGAATAGATGCAAGAAAATAGCAACACTTTACAAATTTCTTTTATTATAGTCAAACTATTTCTTAGTAGTAGTATTACCCCAATGGTAAAATAATGGGTAGATATTTGAAAGTAGGGATGATTTGATGGGGGAAAAGGGTACTTACATTTTCGCAAGAATCTGCGACGTGTGACTGATGATGTGTTACATCAACAGATGATGGAAGGCCGACTGTGCTTTCAATTATATCAGGGATATGAAAAGCAGCCTCTCCATAGCTAGAATTAGAAACACCATTTTCACAAGAACCTCCTCCTCCTCCATTGTTGCAAGTAGAGAAAGTAGGACCCAAATGGTTTACATTCTCTGAGATCAACAAATCAAGTTGGGACTTTAATTTATGAACCCGGGTTTGAGCTATATCAATCTTCCCAAGTATGTACTCCATTTCATTATCTTTATCTTTATCTTTATCTTCAAGAAATGACCACTTGTTACCAACTTCAAACCCGAGCTCCTCTTGACTAGTTGCCTTTTGTCCTGTCAAAACTGCTTTTTGTTTTCGACAAGAAGCCAAAGTTAGATCTGACCGACCTTCCAACACATATTTAAAATTTATGAATTTTCTAATAAAACACTATCAGCAAGATGAAACTGGAACTCATATGTTTGGTTGGAAACTTGGAATTGAATGAGTCATTACGTTCCATCATCATGCTTAGTTGGAATGAATATTTTTATATTTATATTATGTATATACGTTAGCTCTATTTTACACATTATTTAATCATAATTTTATTTTCAAAAATGCAGAATTAAGCAAATAAAAAGGTATATCTTCTAGCTATTTTGTTAAAAAGGATTTACGCCGTTAGACATTACATCAATAAAAACGGGTTAGATTGATCCATTCAATCAGGCAAATCAAACAGTTTTGTTTTTGTTTTTTTATTACAAACACTAGTTTAGTTTGAGTATCAACGACCTAACATAATAGAGGGAAGATATACAAGAAACCAAGCAACTACAAGCCATTCACTGCACCTCCAAATGCTAAGAAAGGTTTACAACTGAGACTGAGGAGAGTCTGTAAGAATACAAGCACATGATTGTTACAAAGTTTTTTTATGAATTTAGATCTCCATCAACTCCAGGTAAGGAAATAATTTAATTCGTATCATCATAAATAATCATATCTCAACACATTAGATGTGTGAGGTTTGGATCTGAAATAGACATGCTTAGCAAATCTCCGTTTGTTACAGATTACTTGTCTAAATGCACCCTCCTTTATATCAAATAAAATTTCCATAAACTTGACATTCAATAAACCTATTTAACATGACAGTACTGGAACACCTACTTAATTTTATGCCAGATCAATGATTCTCAAAGCAGTGTACCGGATACAGGAGGAATATTGGGCAATATATAAAACTGAATTTTATGCATCACTTTACTTTCTCATGAGGAATATGACATGCAAATTGCAATTAAGGAAAGAGTTAAAATTCATTACCAAACCAACAAACATAACTTAACAAGTTACAACAATCGGATTCTTCAAGTAAACACATACTAACTTGTATGAAACAAAAGCCTATATGCGTAATTATTGTGTGGCCTTCCTTAAGCCCTAGGAGTTAAAGCTCCAACTTGCTAGAATCTGTTTCTTTTGCCACTTACTCTCACTCTCACACTACTAATCCTTATTATTTTCATTGGGCCTATTCAGGGATGGGGTGGGACTAGGGAGTGTATGTATTTGGGTTTAACAGAAGCTCTTCAGACCGACATAAACCTAACAATGGCCCTTTTGAATTGGTATCAGATAACATGTCAAGTCTATTATTAGTATTTAGTACTAACAAAATAGATATTTCTTTGTTGTCTGGCAGGCATTCTAAATTTGTAAAACAACTGCTAAATCTCATCTCATTAGGGTGAAGCTTACACCTCCACCATGAAGGTGGCCTAGTGGTGATCACTTGGGAATTGACCATTCCAAAAAGGAGTTGCCCCAACTTCAAATTCAATCTCCTAAAAAACAATACAAAGGGAAGATGAAGGTGGAGGAATGAAAGATAAAATCAAAAAAAAAAAAAAGTCACAAGATGGGCATTGCCTCTCAAAGTGATATAATTTTTTTTTTTACTGAAAATTGGTAGATCATCATCCATGGCCAATGGAGAATGAGATCCACTAACAACAAAGCTTTTCTACTGTTCTGTTTGCGTTCCAGATAATGTACATGTGAAGTCTCCTTAAAGAAACAGGATCCTCAAAATTATCATGATAGGGATAATAAGGAAAATGATGTATGTAAGTTAAATTTGACATCTTCCATATTACTTATCAAACTTACCTGGGTCATCAAAATCCTCTGTGATAGAGGCTCCATCTGTATCCGACTTCCTACTTTCTGAAATAAATGAATATGCAAGTTAAGTATCACATGCCCAATCCAACAAGGTTACAAAACCAAACCATGGTGCACATATAAATATAATATCAGGAAGGGGAAATATACCATGGTAGGAGAAAAGGATGTGCTTTGACATGTAAAATTTAGCATCCGTTGTGTCTTCCACTCTAACCCTTTTCCTCCTTTTCATTAATTTACTATGGTGCCTTTGACAAGTAAATGGCATTGACCTTGAGGTAAACCCTTCAGGAATAGATTGGTTAGCCAAATGTTTAGTCTGATCATATGCTGCTATGGTTTTCACATACTGAGATGCCTGCGACTCAAATTGCTTTATTTTTAGTTCTGCCCATTTACAACGCCACATTACTGGCCGTATAAAGTTTCTCCAGTGACTTGTCAATTTCTTCCTCCTGATGAAATTGAAACCGCAATCAGCTCGATATGTAGATACAAGACACTAAACGGCACATCTTTAAAGAGGTTACACACATCACTAAAAGTAATTCATTCATAGTAAGAATTATGAGCAACAAAGATACAAGAATGCAGCCCTTGTTCATTAGAAACAATGATACTGTAGCCGTGACAAGTTAAGCATGTCAATTGCTGCGATAATCCAAAATTGATATGAATTTACTCAATTGGCATCTTCTGCACCGCTAAGTTCATATTTACTACTCCAGAGCTGACTACAATTAATTTTTTTCTGCATGAAAAGGAATTGAATTGATAAGAACAAAAACACACCTCACTCGGAAAGCACCGCCAAATTCGTCAAACGAAGAGGAGAAACCGTTGGTGTCGCGGTGCAATTTGGACTCAACTTCGGTGTCACTCAGTGCAGAAGAATTGTTATCGTTAGTAGATGCAGTGTCGGCGAATGAAGTTGAGTATTCCGTTTCATCGGAATCAGCTGCTGCCTTTAAAGAAGGTTTGAATTTGGCAGGTGGAAGCTCGTTGACTTCAATAGGCGGATCGTGGTGGTGGTGGGGCATTGTATGAGGAGGAAGCAGAGGCTTAATGTCGCGATGATGGTATTGGTGGTCCGCCGGAACTTCCATTTTGAAAGATGGCGGCCTCATGCAACATCAAACCCTTGGCATAAGAGTGTGCCAAAATATTAGTTTATGTAGTCCCCAATTTACCCTTCCTCACATTTCTATATTAGGAAATTGATTTATTAAAATAATTATTTTGGTAATTTTTTTTTCTTTTTTACATAGTTAGTTAACAAATTTTTTAAACGGGTCTATGACCGGCTGTAGAATGTTACATCCAGTCATAATTGTTATATATGAACATTTTCACCAAGTTCGTTACCTACATATATACAAAAAAAATTACTTAAATATGAACAAAACGAAAACGTAATTACCCTGATAAATCAATTTTTTTTTATTTTTTATTTTACCTTCTAACTTTGATTTGGTATAAAATTTAACCTAAATGGTAAATATTTTTAAAATCATACCATTTTTGTAAATATCTTTTTAAAATATAGTATTTTGGTAAATTAATAAAAAAAATAAAAAACTCTAGATTTGACAGGAAAAAAACACATTGTCGTTTTATAGAATTTTATTGTTTAAAATATTAAATATAAAAATTAAAATTTACTAGAGACTAAAAATATCAGAGATTGAGACCAATAACATAAAAAAGAACACATCTTCAATGAAGTTTGTTTCATGTATTATATGAATTTAAAATATAAAAAATAGAAGTACTTTTTATCTACATCAATAGCATTGTTCTTATATATATATATATATATATATATATATATATATATACACACACACACACACGCACACATAACTATTTGATAATTATTCTACCAAAATGACTCCCAACATGTCGTGACTAATTTATATGCTCATAAATGGTCATAAATATTGTTTTAATGAAATTTAACTGAATATGTTAATATTGCAAAACATTATGATCGGCTACCTTAATAAAAATGGAAATTGACTTATCATGATAATTAACTTTTCGTTTTGTTCATATTTGGGTAACTTTTTTTTATACACATTTAGGTAACGAATTTGTTGAAAGTGTTCACATATAACCATTATGACTGGATGTAACGAACTTGTTACATCCAATCATAATGGTCATATGTGAACATTTTCAACAAGTTCGTTACCTAGATGTGTAAAAAAAAAGTTAGCAGATGTGAACAAACCAAAAAGTTAATTATATTAATATATCAATTTAAATTCTATATTTAGTCCGTTTTATATTTAGTTCATATTTGAAATAGTGAAGCCGCAACGATAGTAATTTACATCATTGTAATCTAATCGAACACCAGGATATTGTAAAGTAAGAAAAATATATTGAAAAAAATAAGGAAATCTGTAAAAAAAACAAATATATATATATTTCTTTATATTTTAGCTATATTAACAAAAAAAATCATCCATGATTTTCTTTTTGTAATTTAACTATTGAAACTAGTAAAACTTGCAAATTAATCATTGTATCCAGGTGCCGGTTTTAAGGGTTAAATTGCAAAAACAAAATAATGGATATCTTTTTTATTAATAAAGTTAAAGTTTAAGGACTTTTGTGGAGATTTTCTTTTTTATATATATTAAATTTATTTGAAGAAAACTTATTTTTATTTATTAAAAACATAAAATAAAGATACCATATACATCCCTTTCACTAAAAAACTAATGTTTTTTATATTAAAAAACACAATAATGGGATTTTTTGTGATTATCTTTAATAAATATCATTACTACTGTTTTGGTAAAAAAAACGATGAAGGAAATATCAACCAAATTGTATGAAAGGTTGTGGTGTTGCAATCAATATGAATGTGAAAATGAAATGAAAGTAACATGAACCGTCTTACAAGGAAAGCCATTGATCATTGCTAGGATCTCCGTCATAAAACATTAGGATGTGATAATGATCACCAGCCTTGTTTAATCTTATTAATCGAAATGTAAATTACAGAAATGTGTTTGAGAATACGATTACAAGTGATTCAATTACTCTAGGTGTGTGTTGTGCGATTTATACATGTGTATTTATAGCCTAGGTTAACTAACTAGATGTCTGATACTCTCGGGATCCTGTTGAACAAGCTCTTGCACGTTGCCTTGACTTGGTAACTCCGGGTTTTAAGTTTGACCGGAGCTGTAACACCCTGTTCTGAAAGTATCCGTTTATGGATTTCAGAGGCCAAGGCTAGGGGCGTTTTGGTCTTTTATTGGTTCTGAGTTTTATTCGAGAGGTTTTGGACCGGGGTGTGTCGCTAGAAGAGTAGGGCTTCTCGCCACCTTTTCGTGGGTATAAAGTTTGTCGGAAACGGACTTGAAATGAAGGAGTTATGAAACTTTGAAGTTATTGACGTTATTGGCCCTTAATGGAAATAGATGACAAAGAAGGTGTAACATCCAAAAATTTTAAGCCAAATTTAAACTTTTTCAACCATAAAACCAAATAGTGTTTTACAAAAATGTTCTCAAAATATTATTCATCAGAGTGTCCCAGAAATACAATCATATGGATGAGGAGTGGTACGGTCAAGCCTTCGCCTTGCCATGATCTTCGGAAGTACCTGAAACAATAAACTGAAACTGTAAGCCCGAGGGCTTAGTGAGGTACCCCCAAAATACCAATACCACACCGATAATACCATATCAATAACAGATAATCAACAACATGCATACTGGGCCTTCGGCCTGACTGGACCGCCCTGCAAGGCCTACAGTCTATCTGGATCTATCCCGAGCCTTCGGTATGACTGGACCGCCATACGGGCCTACAGTCTATTCGGACCGCTCATAGGGTATGTTGGCCTTCAGCACAAAGCAGGACCGCCTCAACCCAAACATCAAGCAAATAACCATGTGCACATGACTAACATATACTAGCATATACAGATATCAGATATAACTATCTCACAGATCATCGATCATAGCAATCTCTCATAACCAGAACACCGACCTAACCAGGTCACTAACATACCAATCCTAACGGATCATAAGAGCATAACAACATACTGTCTATCCTGCTACCGATCTAACAGATCATAACCACATGTAGCATACTATAACCAAGATAACAACTAAAAGGGCCGACCTTGGTGCCTTAGACCCTATTGATATAGTGAGGATAACGCACCTTGCTAGTAGCTCGGAATGATATTGTCCACACCTCCCGATATAGCTCCAACCACCTCGCCTGTACCCATAAGTGGTCCACTCAATAATTACTCAAATTCCAAAATGCCCTTGGGAGGTACAAGATATCCCACAGTCAAGTCAAGTCACTGGTCAATGGTCAACAGTCCATGTTGACCTGTTTGCTGAATATAACTTTCTCTGCCTCGAGTCCCACCTGATTCTAGAATTTCTCGACTCGACTCGCCGAGTCGATACGCGACTCAGTGCTTGGAAGTCCAAACTGACTTGCCGGGTCATCTCCCAGACCTCGCCGAGTCCAAGCGGGACCAATTTGGACAAAACCCTACCCAACTCGCCGAGTCATCTTCCAGACTCGCCGAGTCCATACGCATACTCTCATGATCAAGCGATTCTGAACTACCCCTTTGTTCCAATCAGTAGATCTAGGTCCCTAGAGTGTATTAGCAACGTAAAGTTGCTACCTTTACGTATTTGCATGACTCAAAATCCACATCTAAGCTTAAAATGGGACTTTACTCATAAACAAGGGTTCCTTCATGACCCTATTAAGAACTTTATGAACTTAGGGCTCAAAAGAGGGTCAGATCTGAAGTTTCAACTTCAGATCTAGCTCCCATGCCATAATCCCTTCACGAATAGCTAAAGAAAGCCCTAATCTTCACATATGAAAGTTTCTTAGAAGAAAGGAGATCAAGGTAACAGCTTGTTACCTCCAAAACGTGTCCAAGATGAAGTAGACTTTGGATCCACACGAAATCCTTGATGCTAGCCTCTTGATCTACAAGTTTCCTTCACAAAAATCACTTCCCAAAGCTCCAAATCACTCTCCAAGCTCACACTCACGGAAATTAGGGTTTCTGGCTCTCAAGGGGTGATAGAGGACAGTAGGAGGCGCTAATGGTCCGATATATATGGTGCAAAAACCTTGAAATTTAGGGTTTCCTCTGCCAGCTCCTACTTGTCGAGTCCCCATGCCGACTTGCCGAGTCACTCATTAAATGACGTGTCCTGACCCGCTGCTACTCGACGAGTCACAACGTCAACTCGTCGAGTAGACCATAAAACATGAAATCTAAATGGAATAATAACGATACCTGACGGTTGGGATGCTACAGAAGGACCATGCATGCAAGGTGGTAAGCGCGCGAGTACGCCCAACGTAAGGCTGGGTTACGCCCAACGTATAAGGTCATAAGGCCGCAGGTGCGTTAGGCATACGCCCAGCGTACAGGAGGTACGCCCATCGTACGTCCAGAGTCCAGAAACCCTAAATTTTAGGGCATGCCACTATAAAAATAATGATAAGCCTCAAGGGTCAGCCTCCATTTCACCCTTGGACAGCCACCATGAAACCCTAATCCTCCCTTGAGTGTTCTTGAAGCTTTGGTGGCCATTAGTGAGCATTTTGGTGTTATAAAACCATTCTCCAAGCAAGTAAGGAGCAAAGCAAGGTGGTAGATCAAAGGAGAAGTTGTAGATCTGGGAATTTTGCCTCTTTCCAAACCCTTTCAAGGTATAAAGTTCTGAGCTTGATGATTGTTCTCTTAGATATCTTTTAGGAAGAGTTTATGGACTCTTTTAGTCCAAAGAATGGACCTTTATGATGAAATCTCGTTTGTGAGCTTAGGGTTGCTACCCTTAGAGCTAAAAGGGTCCCATGAGTAGTAAAGTCTCCATCTTAAATGTCTTAATGGGTTCATGCATGAGATCTAGCCCTCTTTATGGAAGTGGAATATCATTTTCGGAGTTTGGGCTTGTTTGGGCCTAGTAAAGTCACCAAGTCAGTGACTTTATAGTTTAAGACGTGGAAAAGGACCAGGATCTGTAATTGTAGCTTCTGAAGTGGAGTATTAAGCACTTAATAAGAAAATGGCTTAACAGGGGGGAGTACGATGAGCGTACATGCAGGTACGCCCATCGTACACATCATTGGCTAGTACGCTTAG